CTCTTTCCCCTTCTTGTCTTTCTCCTCTCTTGCTTCATGTAGTTGTAGTTTTAAATGTGGCAGCTTGGGGTTATAAAAAAATTGTTTTAAACAGGTTGATAGATGTGAATAAATGGACCCATCGTATAATTGGTTCTATATATAAAATGGTCAAATAATTGAGCATGGTCGATTAATCATATCATATTTTATGAATCTACTGGTGCAGGCTTGTCTGACACTTTTGCTTTAGCCCTTCTCCCTCTCTCTTTTGCTTTTCTGGCAAAAAATAATCGACTACGAGCAGTCGCAATTCGGTGCCCCACTGTTTTGACCACAATATATATACACACATATACAAATAAATATATATATATACACACATGTATATACTTGGCTAAAAAAATGGGGATAGGAGTTAAACAGTTTATTATTAGAACAAGCAATGGCGGAACAAACACGCAAAACATTTCTTATAAAACCACATGAAGAGCTTATTGGTCTAAATACTACACTGTTTATATATTTTTATATACAGTATATATGTCTATGTATCTAAAACATTATTCAGTTTGACTTTTTGATATGTTTTTTCTAGAAAGAAAAATTCTAAAAAGGCCTTGACACGAAAATTTTTGGCTTCATTCGCCATTAAGAGCTCAACATTTCTTCTTCTTCTCCCCTCTCTCTCTCTCTCTATATATATATATGTACATACATACGTATACATCCGATTACGTATATATATGAAGAATAAAGCATGGATCATCAAAGAAGGAAATCAAACTAAGATGAAGAAGAACAACAACTCTTCGACCAGGATCCAATCTTGTTCAAAACCCACAAATCTGCTATTACTTCTCTCTCTATTCTCCATAACTCTCCTCCTCTCCCGTCTCTCTCACCACCACTACTCAGCCCTCAACATCGTCTCCTTCCACAATCCCCATGAAACTCCGTCCAAATCCTCCGGCGAAGACCCATGCCACCACCGTTACATATACATACACAACCTCCCCTCAAGATTCAACCTCGACGTCCTCGCCGACTGCGAGTCCATTACAAGACCGAAGGACAAGATCAGCATGTGTAAGTACATCGAAAACTCCGGGTTCGGACCCATGATCGGATCTTCGGGCTTGTACTCGACTAACCAGTTCATGCTGGAACTGATCTTCCACGAGCGGATGAAGAGATACGAGTGCTTGACGACGGATTCCTCCATGGCCTCCTCTTTTTATGTGCCGTTTTACGCGGGACTCGATCTCCGGAGAAATCTATGGCGGCGAAACGTCGCCGTGAGAGACGCCGCCGGGAAGGACTTGGTCAGATGGCTGAGGGATCAACCCCAGTGGAAAGGTACACTTTTGTTAGCTACCACGCGTTTTTTTTTATCGTTGCTTTCTTGGGAAATATATTTTTTGACCCCATATGTTTTGATTTGTATAATTATCGGCCACATATTTTATGTTTAGACATTTTTTTTTCCAATGTCCTTGATTTATGATATTTTTTTTTGCTTTGCTTTGATTTCCGTGTTTGGGTAATTGTAGAAATTCCAAGCTTTTTAACGTATTTTGATTACTTCATATTGCCATTTTTTAATGTCTAAGTTTGAATTATTCAAACTTAATTTTTAGCCCTCTATGCTTTGTAAAAATGACATATCAATGACTTGGTTAGAATATATTCCTCTTCGTGTTCTTTTTTTTTTTGTGGAAATTTTGAGCAAATATAATACTCAGTAATCTCTGTTCCAATCATTGGAATTCAGGACTGTCAGGTCAAGACCATTTCCTCGTAACCGGTCGGATTTCACGAGATTTCCGGCGACATTCCGACAATAACTCCGACTGGGGGAGCAACTTCATGCTCTTACCGGAATCTCAAAACATCACGTTTCTCACCGTCGAACGGACTCCGTCGAGCCTCAACGAGTTCGCCGTACCTTACCCGACCTACTTTCACCCTTCGACGGCCGATGAGATTACCCGGTGGCAAGAAAAGATCCGATCCAACACGAACCGGACTGCTCTCTTCTCGATCGCCGGAGCTCAACGTTTCAGCAGAAACCATAACTTGCAGGTCCGAGCGGAAGTCATAAGACAATGCAAGAATTCGAATACGTGCAAGTTTCTCGATTGCGACGTCAGATCCAACGGCTGCGACGATCCAATCAGTCTGATGAATCTCTTCGAGAGTTCGGTTTTCTGCCTTCAACCGCCGGGAGACTCGCTAACCAGAAGATCGGTATTCGATTCGATTTTAGCCGGTTGCATTCCGGTTTTCTTTAACCGGGGAAGCGCCTACGAGCAATACGTGTGGCACTTGCCGAAGGAACATAACCGGTACTCGGTTTACATACCGGTTAAGGAGCTGAGAATAAAGGGAAAGGAAAAAATCGAAGAGAGACTGCGTAGAAAGAGTGATGGAAATGAGAGCAAACGTTATCCGGCTCGTACCGAAGGTGGTATATTCTAACCTGAACCGGTATAAACCGGGAAAAGAAACTGTGGAAGATGCTTTTGACATAGCTGTTAAGAGGGTCCTGGAGAGAACACGGTTAATAAGGAGAAAACAACACAAGAACGGGGAAGCCGATGTATATAAATAGCCTAAAACATATCAAAATATGTACCGTTTTTTTGTTGTTAATGTCTTATATTTTCGGATAATGATTAGATTCGTCCGACCAAATATTGATAACTTCATTGGATTTCCTGCATACAGACAGTAGAACCCCTTGCTGCAATGAAACCAACTTACAAAATTTGGAGCGTAAGATCATTTCTGACAAAAGGGATGGCTCTACTTATGACTTCTTTCACCTATATATAATATGATGTAGGCTTATGGTAAGACAAAAAACAAATGAAACGAAAACAAAAACTGATCAGAAATTCGACATAAAAAAAAAAAAGAAACAAAGAAACGATACCAAGGATGATGGAGATACAATGAGAGACCTGATGATGATTAATGTTAAGATTGGACGGCTAATTTTTGGAGATGTTGGAAGAAGACTTGGAGGCTAACGTCGTCGGTGAAGATTATATCCGAACCAGCGGTCAATTCGCTTGCGTTGTTGTACGTCGCTGACGGGTTCAGCTTTGCTAACAAAAACCTCGCCTGTCTCGACCAAAAAAAAAAGCTTAGCCTATGAAGAAGGTCGGTCGATTGATCAAATATCCTTAGCCTGCACGCAATGACATTTCCATCTTAATTGATGACTAACCTGAGAACCATGTTGATCACAAACAACTAATCTTGGAACAGGGAAACGCTCCCGAATGATCATCTGAGCATCCTCATGTGGGGCTTGCAATAGTTGTGCGAATGCCTGCCGATATATTTATACAGTACCAGTAAGAACATGTAAGGGTTCAATCCCCCCTCCAGAATTTTTGTAACTCAAAAATATGACAGAGCAGCCAAGAAAATGCACAAGAACATGACCCAGCTCGCCACAATCTAAAAAAGTTTCAAAAAAAAAAATAAGCCACTCGGATAAGGTAGGGAAGGATACCGTGTGTTCAGGCTGATTCTGATAACCCATATTGCGCCACTGCGCTATTGTCATTCCATGGAATATGACGACGCTGACATATGAATCCAACAAGAGGATACGGTCTGCGGCTATGGACGCCACATCTAACAGTGCTGGCTGTGGTAGCGAGTTAAACGCATATGTTGTTAGAGATGGCTGAATCATAACAGCTGCATTGGTGATATTCTCCCGGTTCAATAGCATGCGGTTGTATGCAGTTTCATCTGGACTATTGTTAAAAACCTGCCATTGTCACCGGAGGAAGGAAAAAACAAAAAGAACATTTGCATGTGTGGGTTGATCCATTATTAGGACGGAGAGAAACTGAAAGCATCTAATACAGTAGCACGCGCTTACCTGCACAAACTGTGACCGTCGAAGATTGAACATAAACTGAGGAAACAATGAAAAGTTTGGATTTAGTGTAAATGACGCAGGATCATCCTTTCGGTAATCGCCAAATTTAGAACAAATGCGAATAAGGTTCCGATCCAGCCATCGCGTAGCATCAAATCCCTCCTGAGAAAAACACATCCAACAATTACTTGGTTTCATTAGACAAAACCTGGGATAAATAACGGTCATTAGAGTGCTTCCAAAAGAAAAGAAAAAAAGCGCTCAATGGGATCCCTAAAATAAACATTTAGATTAGCATATACTGAGTACATCTTCCAGTAATTTTCCCTCAGGGCAGAAATAAATGCATCGAAAATGCAAAAATAACACCAATAAGCTTGAGATTCAAGTATCCCAAGTGAAACATTTAATAGCAAGTTTCAGCCTCGATTTTGAAGATCACCTCCGTTTCCATCTTCAAGGAAACTAATCTTGCCATAATCACAGCAGCGGTTTCTTGATCAAAGCCTTGCACCAATTCCTGCAGATATTTCACACCTCATCTGTATAAATGTCCACACGCAAAAGAAGAAAATACGCGGGTACTTTACCGGTGTATCATATCATAACCCATGCTATAAACATTAAAGGGCAGACTACCTATTCATTGCACAGTTATGTTGTGTGAACCATAGATAAATAGAAAGCAAACAAAATCCAGATGCGTATGCTGGAAAAACTACACACACAAAATTGACACCAACTTAGGTAACTACTTTGGCCAAGTTAATCATGTAAACCTCAGTCGAAATTGAAGCTCTGGTGTTACTTAACGAGGAAAATAATATTGCCAACTTGCAATAACATGGGTGACTTTCCACAACAACTCGAACATGCAACCAAAAGTAGAATAAACAACGAGTGCCATTCAGCTCCGATAAAAAGGTAAATATGAAACACACAAAATGATAATAGTTGGATCTCTGTAGCTGAGAAGATGAATGCTATTATGCTAATTAGTCAAAATCATTCTCCTAATAAAAACAAATACTTTTTTCTGTCCATAGGAAGAGAATTCTAAGTCCTGCCAAAAAACATCAGGGACATCCATAATGCTGCCCAGTTACCAACATATACCAGGATTTTTACAACATAGCAAAGCTTTGACGACCATTCTTGGAAAGTCATTCTGAAGAAAAAGAATCCTACAAATTCCAGAAAGAGAACGGAAAAGTACTGACCTCTGTGCTAACAGCAGTATCTATCCATGGCCTGCAAACAGTTGTCACTCGAAGCAATGTTTTACCTTCAGGGTTTTGATAACTGTAATAAAATATTTACAATCAAATTTCAATTGCTTTGGAGAATATACTTGGAGCCAGAACAAGCAGAGGAGAAAATTTCAAGCTTACCTTGTAAGAAACTGTAAATATAGCTGGGGATTTACACCTCCAGAGGTATTTGATTTATCAGTTGAAGAAAGATCAAAGAAGACTGTCAAACAAGTACTTTTGTCAAGGCCACACATCTTCCATGCTGTAGTATTCCCTTCTCCGATAACTGTATCAGCAACATTAGGGCCTTTCTGCAATGTTCCAAACAAAAGCATAAAAACATCAGCCAAGTTTATATTTCATCCACTGACCTTACATTAAATTTAAAAAAAATCAGGTTCCCAAGTATCAGTTGGTCCAACCTTCTCCAGGGAAGAGCAAGGTCCAATGATCCCTTGAATCTTTATGTCCTTTGAACAGTTGATCTCCAGTGTTCCACTGAAACAGTAGTTCGGAAATAAGTATGACCGCAACTGAATTCCGTCATGGATGTAAAATTAATGGCAGTACCAAGCTATAAAAAGACCAATTAGCACATTTCATGGATATTCAGAACTAATGATGGACAGTAAATATTCAAATGAATAGCAAAGAGGAACAAAAGGATTCAACAGCTACTTACTTGAAACAAAGACCAAGAGATTGTTCGCCATCTTCAAATATTCGCTTAAAAGAATCCTTGAACACAGAATGGCCAAAACTTTCTGATAAAACAACAAGCCCTCCAGTTCTTTCAACTGCAGCTTTCATTTCAGCAACACCAACCTAACATTTAAAATGCACAAAACTTAAACTCTGGAACCGTTTCAGTTTAACAAAAGTAGCACAACCATAATGCATACTTACTGATTAGTGTTAAACAATAACACAAGCTGAGAACAAGATGGTGAAAATCTTGAAAATTCAAAGCCATTTAAAGAAGTCATGAAAAAGACAATACATGGCTTTAGATATTCCAATTCCTAAATGATCAATTTTCATCCTAACATACTCGAAAGAAAAGATGAAGCTTTGCTCATGCATCTACATAATACTAGCGTTTCACTAGGGTAAACACAATCATAAAGCCAGGGGAAGATAAATACCTGATCAAGTGCAGATGCAAAAAGGTCCAGTACATGACCTTGGTTGACCAATTGTGTTGCAAGACCATCATAAAATTTCACAGCTTTTTTGTAGTACGGAGCAGCATCTTTATCAAGATCTTTATGTGAACGCAAAGGGTCTGACAGATCCTTTGATATGATCTGGAATAGCCAAAGGTAATGTACTCAATCAAAAGAATAACCTTAAGCCTCTTAGAGGCCAACAGTATACCCTGGGACCATATTTCATGCATTGCGGATCATATTCTGAATAGTATAATTTTGACGTTTCCATGGCAAGTGCTCAAATTATATGAAAACGGCTCAGTTAAGTAGACTATGACAAGAACCACGCTAGTTTAATAACAGCTTGACTTATATGTGATGTAAACTCAAGCAATCTGAGGCAACATACATAACGACATCCCTACTTGGACCACATAAGAACAATACAGTCTCAACACTACCAATCCGAAGACAAGCAACTTATAGGATTGGTTTCATTTTGGACTGGATAGCTAGTCTACACATCTATCTTCTTTAAAAAAAACTAATCAGTCTACTGTCACCGTTGCCATTACATGAATGATAACCGAGAGGCAGCACAAATAGGTCAGTCTCGTAGTAACTAAGAATTCAAGGAGTCATTCCATATGACCAAGTAAAACTGAGACAGCAATGTAGACAGAATAGAAATTTCATGAGAAGAAAGCAAAGAAACAAGAGGAGTTACCGTGCCAGGCCCTTCCGTACATGGCCCTCCAATTAAAGCAACAATTCTAGCCCCAGTTCCAGGAAAACAAGCTCCAACCAATCCAGCGGCCACACTCAAAGCCACTCCCGTGCACCGTGAAGTACGACGACCATGCTGGACTGGCCACTGATCCGTTTGTAGCTCATCCAACAGCTACACCCCAAAACGGAAAACTCCGGAGTTGGATAAACTTTCTACTTTTAAGACAATCATTTGCGGGTGCAATTTTGATGGAACGAAGGTAAAGCCCATTCAAAAGAAACATAATAACCCACCGAATCAAGAGTGTATTCACACTCAGAGGCTGGCAAAAGGAACCTGTTAACACCAGCGTTACCGAATCCATCCCTGCCCTTTGGAAATCCCCCAACTACTGCTCGCCTACCAGACACACCGAGCCCTAACTGATCCAAAATCTGCTCCTTGGTGATCTCCTTGTTGCCCCTGAAGACGTAAACTTTGGCCAAATCAGAGAATCCCAGCTCGTGAACGTGCGCCTGCGTCCCAAACGAGACGAACCCAACGAGAGCGTTATCCGGAAGCAAGCCGATCGCCTGCTTGAGGGCAGATTTCGCGAAGGCAAACTCCTCCTCGATCATACACGTATCCAACACGAAGACGAACACCGACTGCGAGGGCTGCAACGCAGCACCACCGCTCTGATCGAAATTCCCCATGCCGGGAGCTGGGGAAGGGCTCGGGATAGTGTATTCAACAGTGGTGTACTGCGGATACAGCTCGCACGGAAGATTAGTCTCGGAGATCATGTGGTAGTGAGGAGGGAAGTGGTTGCGTTGGAAGCAGAAAGGGCAGATCCAGATCTTCACCGTGAAATCAACGCGACAGAAGGCGTTGAGCGCGGCAGAACAGGTCCGGCACCGGAGCGGCGCGTACGGAACCGTCGGAATTTCACGGTGGTATCGGATTGGGGAGATGCAGGCGGCGATGGGGACGACGCACTTGCTGGCCTCAACCTTGGTGCGAGGCCAGAAGTTCCAGGTCATACGAACTCCGTCGATCCCTTCGGGATCCATAGTCGCCATTTCCGACATGGTTGAGATCGGGAAAGAGGAATTCTCCGGAATTGGATGGTAAATTGAGTTCCGCGTTAGGGTTTTAAGCCCTGATCTGCCGAAATTCTCAGCTTTCGAGTATACTTCTTCGGTTTCTTCAGGCGACCCCCAAAGGAACCAAGACGAAAAGGGTCGTGGTGCAGAGAGAGAGAGAGAGAGAGAGAGAGGTTCAAAGCTTCGAGGGACAAATATGGAAATAAATATTACAGTAATGTCAAGACCCAAATGGAAATTTATCAGGTACAGTCTTGGAGTGTATGTACAGTAATTATATTAGCATAATCTCTCTCTTTTTTTTTGGAAAAAATAAGTACAGATGGTAACACTATTAAATGAGATTTGACTAAACCGTGGTCCGTGAATAGATTGAAATCAATTATCGAATGGATATGTATGCATATATATGAATATGTGTGTTAGCCTTAACAGTTAATTAATTAATTATATTTTTCAATTGATTAATTGTGTGATTATGTTAATCACACCATAGTATGATATTATGATATATATATATATATATATCACGGTGGACCCTTTTTGGGTTATGAATAAATAGTGGGCCTAGCCCAAAATACAAAAAATCTATAATAAAACTAAAAGCTCATAAACTTAGAAGCCCATGTCTCATTTGAACTATATTAAAGCAAACTCAAAAGCCCAGCACATGGTGGCCCACTGGCTCGAATGACTAACATAAACCAACAATTGGAATTATAAATAAATTGATTAGTATAACTATCAATTGTTTAATTTTTAAAATCACAAGATAAAGTATAGTAATATGATTTATATATTTTTAAAATTTCAGACTTAAATTTTATTTTGGAATTAATTATCAACCTTCGTACATACAAATTTATGAAAGTATATATATATATATATATATATATATATAAATA